CTTAGTATATGGTGGGTATCTTTCATATGAAAGATTTATTTCCTGCTTTCAGGGAGAGAGCAGAAGGTCTGAGGCCTATGCACTGTCTGTTTCTCTAATAGCTTTAATTCAAAATAATCAGTCTGCCATTGTGGTACATTTTGGGACAACCTGGCCTTGGCTCCTACACTACCATGATTGAATTATATTATATGACAAAATGGAAGTGATTTTTTTCAGATGTAGTTAAGGTCCCTAATCAATTGGCTTTGAGTTAATAATAAAAAACGAGAGATCAAGACTTGCAGATGCTACCACCTTGGAGCCATCTGTGTGGCCCAGCCCATGGTCAACTCCACTGTGTTCTTCAACATCACCCCGGATAGCAAGCCATTTGGCCATATCTCCTTCGAGCTGTTTACAGACAAAATTCCAAAGACAATGGAAAATTGTTGTGTTCTGTGCACTGGGGAGAATGGACTTGGTCATAAAGTTTCCTGCTTTCATAGGATTAATTGGGGATTAATGTGCCAAGGTGGTGACTTCACACGCTATAATGGCGCTGGCAGCAAGCCCACTTACGGGGAGAAACTTGAGAATGTCATCCTGAAGCATAGGGCATCTGGCATCTCATCCGTGGTTGGCTGGACCCAACACAAATGGTTCCCAGGTTTCGTCTGCGCTGCCAGCACTGAGTGTGATGGTGAGCAGGTGGTCTTTGGCAAGACAAAAGAGGGCACGAATGTTGTGGAAGCCAGGGAACACTTTGGGTCCAGCATTGGCAAGAGCAGCAAGATCACTGTTGTCAACTGCGGACAAATCTAGTGCATTTGACTCGCATTGTATCTAAACTGCCAGACTGTTCCTTCTGTCGCTCAGGGGAGCAGTCCTTCACCCCCATCTGCTCAAAATATCATACAATCTTTGTGCTCTGGCTGCAGTTCTATGGGTCCCCTAGTTTCCTGATTCCCCTCCAAGTCTAGCTGGATTGCAGAGCTACGTTTATGATTACAAAATAAAAACTAAACAACAACAACAAAAGAGAGAGTGACAGATTATCCTGGGTGAGTCTGACCTAATCAGGTGAGCCTTTTGGAAGAGGGTCCAAAAGAGACATATTCAGAGTAGGAGAGGCTCTCCTGCTAGCTTTGAAGAAGTAAACAGAAATGATGTGAACGGCTTATGAAGAGGGTCACGTGGCAGGGGGTGTCCTCTAGGAACTGAGGGTCTGCGTTCTAAAACAACAGGGAACTGAAGTTTGCCAGCCATCAAGCGAGCTAGGAAGACCTCAGATGAGACCGCAACCTTAGCTGACATTGTGAATTGTGTCTGGTGAGACACTAATCAGAAGAGGCAGCTAGGCCATATTCCTGACCCTCTGAAACTATGAGGTAATACATTTGTGTTACTTTAAGTCGTTAAATGTGTGTTCATTTGTTATGCAGCAATAGAATACTAATATACCAGACTACATGGATGTGGTGTTTCTTGACTGCAAGTCATTCAAGTAGGTATTTCATCTCCCCTTCTGGAGAAAGAATCATCACCATATGTGACGCTCTTGATATGTCCAGTATGAACAAAAAGTGGGGAAATGAACAGTGGTTTGTTATGGTGGGTCAATCAGTTGAGCCAGTTGTGAAATATTAGTTTTTAAGCTGTCACGGATACTTAAATATTTGTTCTTGGCAATCTAGCCAAAGTGGCCCATAGCTCTCATTTAAAACTTCTCTCACTTTCCAAAATCCTTCTTTCAGTTTGGTATCTGACTCTATTTTCTTCTCCTCTGTTCATGCTTGCACATTAGTTGCGTTTCCTTACGTTTGCTCTATTGAGCATCATGGATAAGAATCATTCTTCCCACTTACTTGCTACACTACTTATTTGATAATTGGACATTCACTCATTTATGCATGTGTTCAATAATTATGAACTTTTACTTTATTCCTTCAAGGAAATAAGACGGGATGAAAATAAATAAATAAAAGGGGTGCTTGGGTGGCTCAGTTGGTTAAGTGTCTGACTCTTTTGACTCAGGTCACGATCTCACTCAATTGTGAGATCAAGCCCTGTGTTGGGCTCCACACTGACAGTGTGGAGCCTGCTTGGGATTCTCTCTCTCTCGCCTTCCCTCTCTCTCTGCTCCTCCCCTGATCACACTCTTTCTCAAAATAAACATTTTTTTTTAAAAAAAGAAAATAAGTAGACAAGAAATAAGATCTTATACTGTGTTCTTTTAAAATATCTAAGTCTCTTGTTAACTGTCAAGTTTTCACTCCTCTCTTTTTATTTCTTTCAATTTATTTTCTCAAGAAAGAAGCACATTTGTGTAATAGTTTTCACATCTCAATTTTACCCATTTCCACAGTGTCCTTGAATATGCTGTTATCCCCCATATTTATTGTAAATTCATAACTACCTATATAGCCTTCATTAAATTTGGTATGACACGAAGGGTCAGATTTTCCATTAGGGGCTGATGGTAGAGATGATCCAAATATGGTGGACATGACTATGGCAGTCCAAAATCCTATACGGAGCAATGAAAATCTTGCAATAGATTTTAGAGCAAGATAGGTTTTAGGGCAAAGCCACACGTATTTCAGAAAACATTTCATCTGTATTTCGGAAACAGTCCCAAGATAATTTGTGGCCCAAGCTGGAGATAGGTATATGGAAATGGATCTGAAGGGTGTAGGATCAAGGTGAAAAGAGTGTAAAGATGGATAAAACCAAATGTATTGAGATAGACTCACTCAGCAGAGATTATGAATTCAATATTTTAGCCTAAGTGGCTAGGAATGGCTCAAACAGTTTGAGAGCTTGGATGACTGAAAGATGAACCCAAACGTGGCCCACACTAAATGAAGCTGAAATGCCAAGAACTTCTTAGTATGCTGTAGAGGAAGTTAACCCAAGATTTGGGATTATTGGAATTCTAAAGTATTTATTATGTAAGATCTGCTCATCCAAACCAGGAGGGTTCCAGAAAATATGCCTTTCGCTAGAGCTGTGACAAATAAATTCATGAGTATAGCCCCAGCATCCTAGAAGATCTGTGTTGAAGTTCTTCCCTACAAATAAGAAATTACATCAGAAGTTTTTGTCATTGAACCGAAATGCCTAAATATAGTGTGAATAATTTGAATGCAGAATGACAGGTATGGACATTAATCAAATAGTCTGACTCACAGAGACCTTTGCCATTGACTAGCTGATTATGGTTCTCTAGAACCAATGTATATAAGAGGTCGACTCAAGTCTTTCTTGATCTGAAAAAGGAGAAAAACTCCAGGCCTTGTGAGTACAAATCTGACTTGAATCAGCCCTTGCACATCATGAATGGTCATGGATCCTTAACCATTCCCAGACTGGAACCAGTTCAGTCACCCATGGCACCTAAATGATGGGAGAGACAGACCCCCAGGAAGAAACCTTACTACATTGCCAAAGAAATACACTGATAATCTTCCCGCCGGCCATCCCGAAAGGAACATTCAGTCATATACTATGGTAACTGTGTAGTAGATGAGGGATATAATCATCTTTTCAGAGATTCATGATCATTGGCTCTCAACTGACGATAATTCCTGGAGCTCCAAAGTCTCACTGGGGATGGCCAGTTAGAGAAGGAGTTTAGTAGGGTGACATGATCAATGAAGTTTTGTCTCAGGTGCACGGTTTCTTCTAAGAAATCCACTGTCATTTAAGAATCATTGCTTTCCAGTGGGTAATCTATCATTTAACTCTGGTTACTTTCAAGACAATTCCTTTGTTTTAATTTTTACAAAAAAAAATCTACAAATAGATATGTGGTATCTTATTGATTTCCTATGTAAATGAATGTAGAACCACATTATTTTGTGACTCTTTCATGGCATACTAGGATGAGGCTGGTTTTATTGTGGCAGTGTGAGAGCACTAACAAATGTGTCTTGCAACAAGTCACAAATTATTTTCAAAACAAATTTTAATTCATTTTTTAAAAATA